TACAGAGGGATCGCCTTGCTGTTCACCACAGAAAAGATCATTGTGAGAACCCTCCTGAACCATCTCCTTTCACTTGCTGAAGAGCTCCTCCCAGAATTTCAGTGTGGGTTTAGGGCATCAAGAGGCACAACTGACATGATCTTCATAACTCACCTACTGCAGGTAAAATGCCAGGAATAACGTAAACCTCTCTACGTATCCTTCTTTGACCTCATGAAAGCCTTTGACTGTGTTAGCCAAGAAGCACTGTGGAGGATACCAACCAAAAGTCATCATCATAACCAAGACTACCCTGACCTCAATCACTGAGTTCCAGTGCTCTGATGATGTTGCAGTCTGTGCTCACTCAGAAGCAGACCTTCACGCAATTGTCAACATGTTTACTGAGGCATACAAGAAAATGGGACTGATGTTTAACATTCAGAAGACTAGGGTCCTCCATCAACAAGCTTTTAATGAGCAGTCCCCAGCTCTAGTAATTCAGATTTATAGTGAGGCTCTGGAGAAAACTGAGTATTTCCCGTACCTCGGAAGCCATCTCTTGCAGAAGACTGACATTGACAAAGAAATCCAACATTGTCTCAACTGTGCAAATGTAAGCTTTTGGATGCCTGAGGAAATGGGTGTTCAAAGATCACAACATCAGATCTGAAACCAAGCTTATGGTTTATTAAACAGTCGTGGTCCTTACCTTATTGTACAGAGCTAAGATGTGAACAACATACAGGAAAAACCTCAAGTTGTTGGAGAAGTACCAGCAATGGTGCTCGCAGAAGATGTTTTGAATCCAGTGAGATGATAGACACACCAACATTAGCGTCTTCTCACAAGCAAACACCATGATTATTGAGGCAATGATCATTCAACATCAACTTTGTTAGGGCAGTCACATTATCCGGATGTCTGACTCCAGACTGCAAGCTTTATTCTCTCAGCTCAGTCAAAGTATATGTTCAAGAGGAGGGCAGAGAAAGCACTTCAAGGACAACCTCAAGACCAGCTTGCAGAAATGCAATATCAACATCAATTCTTGGGAGACTATCACCTAAGACTGCCCCAAATGGAGGAAGAGTCTGTTGCAAGGATGTCAGTCCTTTGAAACCTTATGAAAACAACAGAAGATGGAAAAGTGGCAGCAGCAGAAACAGTGGGTAATGGATCAAATGAAAAATCTAGAGCCATCCAGGCATTCGTGCCCATGTTGCAGTAGAACCTGTTGATCCCGAATCAGCCTCATTAGCCATCATTCAGACCCACAGATAAGAGTCATGGTAGACCAGGAGTGTCCAACCTTTTTGAATGCGGGGCTGCATCCTCCCCACCATCCTCGCCCCAGGGCAGATCCCTGCGCCGCCGCCAACCTGCCTCCACCACCCCCTCGCGGTTCCTTGGCCTGGCCCAGCCCGGCCCCATGTGGGTGAGCGAGCAGCGAGCGGCTGCCGGCGGGCGGCGCGGGGG